GACAGACAACGATGGTACAGGTCGGGCAGGCAGAGAGACAGAGAGAGAGAGAGAGACAGAGGTAGGTTGTGTCATGTTCCAATGTTCTGAAATAGTAAAAGAGAGGAAAGGAAAATCCGTTTCTTTCTTTGAATAATTGCAAAGGAAATACGAATTCCACGGGCGCAATGATTTTCGTGAGTGGCAACCTTTTGGTTGCTTTCTTGGTCACTCTAGCACCCTTTTGATCTCAGCATTCAATTTGATCTTCGTGAATATCTACCTATATATATATATACACACACACACATAGATTGTGTTGCCATATCCCGTGAAATAAGTAAATTGGCATTCTTTACCTAGTTCCCTGCCAAAAAAAAAAAAAAAGAACCCTCCCAATATTTTGTATAGAACATAAAGATCAAGGTACGTCGTTCCACTCTACCTAATTAGTTTTAGGGAAATTGTTAAGTCCATTGCTTTATAGGCCATCGTGACCGACACGTGGAAAAATTGAGTTACATTGTTGTTTTCGAGTGTGCACACGCAACATGCGGAAGAATTCAATTGCATTATTAAATAATCTCGAGGAAGCTAATACTTTGAACATTTGATTAACATTTATTTACCTAAGTATAAAACGTACACACGATAAACATCCAACACGTCCATGTAAATCGAATTTAGACATGTGCAAGTACGTTTAGAAGCCTTAAATATTGTATTCTCTACCATTTATTACTACTACAATGCTTAACATGGGTAGGGTTGGTTTTAGTGCTCGACCGACGGAAATGCGCATGGATGAAGCGTGAATAGACACAAGCTCGATCATCCACGCTATCCAACATAAACAATTTCATGAATTTCGCCGCCCGCTCGAGCTCGAGCTCGAGCTCGTCCTTGCCCGACCCGCGAATCTAACCTGGTATTTCGGGGATTTCCAAAAAAGGAAAAAAAGGGACAGACTTTAAGAAAAACATTATTAAGTAAGGTCGCTTTTATCGCACCGACCTAGCCCTACGCGAAGCCATTGAAGAGGAGGGAAGATGCTCGCCATGAACTTTGTTATTATGGCAAATAATCATTCTCCTATGCGCACCCCCCCGAAACGCACTTTGTGGGTTGGCATGAATCTGACCTTTTTTGCTAAAAACGACGATGCGTTTCCTTCTCTCCAGCAGCACTAGTGACAGCCCAATCTAAGCGAAAAGCCCATCACGTGGACCTCTCTCGATCGACGCCACTTTGTTGTTCATCGCCCTATAGCCCATGACCATATTGTAAGATCAAAATAAGAGAAATCTTGGCAATTCGTGTGACGAAACCCTCCCAAACTATATACATTTCAAGGCCTAATTGGTACGACCCATCAATTGTATAGTTCTAGATTGCAAACCTAACCATTACTTCATTTTGGTGGTCGGTAGATACTCAAAACTCTTGTCCTGGATTTTCGATAGTTTCGCGGTACTCGCGACGCGCTCGAAAAGGGTCTCTCGATCGTGATTCGATTACAAAGGCGTCTCTCCCGATACCGAACCCCAAAAAGAAAAATGTTTTCTTTCTTCGTTGGTTTTGGTTATTTGGAAAAAAATAATTATAAAATAACAGGGAGACAAATCACATGATCCCAATTTGGAATTGGGACTTATCCAATTAGTGACCCTAAATATGCTCTCACCCTGTGGACAATGTGCAGAATCCAAGTCACCAAAGCCCAATCCCATTGGCTAAGGGGTCGCTATCCGAACCATTTAATAAGCACATTTGCATAATAGGATAAGATAGGTGGGCACTAAATGCTATTGGGGGTTTTTTTTTTGTTATTTATACTAAGGTCACTTCACCATCTTCACGTTCTTTAACTTTGTATTTGCTTGACTAATAAGGCAAGGGACTATTTCTTGTGAATTAAAAAGCCTAATAGATCAATGTGCTCTCCCCTAGCCCTTAGCCACATGACAAATTTCCATGACTCGTTTGCATCGTATGCCGATTTGGGATCTCCTGTATATTAATAATAAAGATCGACCTATTTTCTTATGAGCAGATACAATGGCGACCCTTCGTTATTCTCGAGTCTCGCTCGCATAATCGGACAATGTTCGGGGGTCGGGAAAGCAATTGGACCTCCTCAATCTCCATCGAGATTAACAAATGGTTATTGATATCAAACTGCTGATGATAATTAAAGGTTTTATGTGTAGCTCCTTTTGTGTCGCTGATTTCTTCTAGAGAGGAGCCGGTCGTTGTTGATTCTTGCTTTTGTCATGAATCGAGCTTAGTTGTATGATTGTCCAGAAGAATCTAACTGGACCGATCCAATTAGAGCAAAACTAGCGAAAGATTGAAGTGCACCACGCACTCGCCAAAAGCTCGGACCCGAGTTGATGTTTACTTGAGGTGGACTTATCTGATTTTGGTTCGAGCTCGAGTCTAGCTTACTCGGATGTCTTGTGGAGTCGAGCTTAAACTCATGTAAACCGATCGGATATGTTAAACTTTAATTGTTGTCTCGTATTAGATATCAGTAACGTGGAATATTAACGAGCTGGTCATACTCCAACAAAAACCTAATCACATAAGCAAATCTCTCCTTTTCTTTTTCAGTTGTTGGACTTGTTTATTGACGCGTGATCTCAATGGTGTCACCACCATCACCGTCCAGTGCCATTCTTCCAATCAAACTATAAAATCGTAAATTTCAATTGCTGCTAAAGTAATTATATATTAAATCACTTGTTCATCTAACAATTTAAACTCTTCAAACTTTTTTCAGCAGTCTCATACAATTTAACTTTGTAATAAACCAAAAGTGCCGAGTGCAAATCTTTTCAAGTCCCGTATATGCCTTTTCAATATATTTCTACGCTTAAGTCCAATTTACGTACGAGATAAGTGTTAGAGTAATTGAATATTAAATCATGCTCTTCGTCTAATGACGCGCCCTTTTAAAACAATTGATTGTAGTTTTGCAAATTTTGGCAATTGACTAAGAAAAAATGAAGCAAGAAATTAGATCTTTCAATGTCTGAGTCCTCTGATGATGTCGAAGCATCAGAGCCCAATCGTGGTATTGGTCTTAAATCTTAACCCTAAGGACCTCGAACAATGCCCAAGCCCAAAATCAACTAAAGTTCAGAAAAACGAATGAATGTTGAGGGGCCTTCTTCTTTCTCTCTACCAAGTTTCGAGAAAAGGGTCCAATTGAAAATTGGGAAATTGGGATCTCTCATTCTGAATTAGATCATCAAAATGAGAGGACCAAATCTGGTGAGTGTGAAAGAGAGATGCTGGGGGAGAGGCCAAGAAATACCAAAAGGGGAAAATTACTCGATCAATCATAAATTTGTTGTAAGAATGTCAATTCAGTTCTAAGTTTTTCAATGTTACCAACTTAATCAAAAACCTTTGCACGAAATTACAATTTAGTCTTTCTGGTTGATTTTCGCTGGATATCGCTGACGTGACTATCCAGTCATCGCCGGCCATCCCACATATCGCACCGCTACGTTAGTGCTTTTTTAGCGAAAATTGGCCGAAATGACTACATTGAAATTTCGTGCAAAGGTTTAGGACTAAATTTGCAAAATTGAAAAGTTTATGACTGAATTGGCATTCGCACAATTGTTTTAGCACTAATCGGACAATTTCCCATATGAAAAAAGTAAATCCAAAGCAGAATAAGGGCGATTCTTTGCCAAGTAATAATTACGTAAAAAGCTGGTAGTGGCTATAAAGAGAAAAGAAATAGAGTTAGATTGAATCAATACAAGGACCCTCCAAAGTGAAAAATTTTCTCCTCCCGGCATGCGGCTTCTCTTCTTCATCAAGATTTGACCTTCTTTTTGTTTTATTTGTCTTTTAATTTAACTAAGACTAGCTTCTTATTAGTTAACACAAGATCAACCGAAGCGATATCAATTATGATATGATAAGTGGGTTCTTATCTTTTTGGGGTACCTTGTAATCGCTTCTCTCTATTTCTTCATTTCCCCTAAAATAGTCTTGATGAGATATAATAGGAGTAAGATCTTCATATTGCGATACAATTATAAGCACAAAATAAGCATACTAGGTCCAAATGCATGTACATGCTGATTTGCATCCATATCACGGCATGGATCGCGAAACAGAACGACATCCTTACGAACTTATCAATCCCTACCATGACGTGATTTTTCAACACTTAGATGCCGTTATTTGTACACATGTTATAACTCGATATGGGTAGCAAATAAAAGGTTTAAATTGCTCTATGAAACCTGATATGTCGCCGTAACACATAAAAATGATTCAAACATGTATGAATTGAAATATGGATGACGCATAACATATCAATGTGTTAGGTTCATTTAAGCTTTATTCATAGTCATCTCAATAAGTTTCAATAAGACCCAAGTTAATCTCTATTCATTACAGTCTGTTACGTCACTTGACAAATCAATCTCTTGAATTACATCCATACACAAATTCAAACATTAGTTCGACCTATATTTATGGTCAGTCCACTGAAAAAACTGCTCATGGAAGCTTGATAGCTCTGTTGTCTAATGATCCAACACACAATTATCAGTCAAGATTGGCATTAGGCATGTTGGGTACTACTACTTATCACCTTTTGCAGTGCATGTACGTATGTGCATGATATTGTTTTGTGAGTGGTTTATTTCTCCGATCTGATCTTCAGGTCTATTTCATCGCATAGTTCTTGCATGTGTATGAACACAACAAAACCAGCTTCATTGCCGTTACTTGTGCAAGAATGGAGGGGATCGAGAGAAGTGAGCACGAAAGGGCTTATGGGAAACGTTTCTCTCTGGAGAATCTGCAAAAGCAGAAAAAGCGAAAAAGAACACTTCCAGACAAAGGACTTTGGCTCTCTCTCTCTCTCTCTCTCTCTCTCTCTCTCTCTCTCTCTCTCTCTCTGTCTCTCTCTCTCTCTCTCTCTCTTCATATAATATGTGTATATATATGAATGATCCATTACAACTAATCTTTCATAAACCAAAGACAAAGCAAGGAAGAGGGAAGAACCCAGGTGGCAGAGAAGGAACGAAGAAAGGCAAGAATGGCCCCTCTTGGATTGCCTCCTGGTTTTAGGTTTCATCCCACTGATGAAGAGCTTGTCAACTACTATCTCAAGCGGAAGATCAATGGCCAAGAGATCGAACTCGACATCATCCCCGAGATCGATCTCTACAAATGTGAGCCTTGGGAATTGGCAGGTCTCTCTCTCTCTCTCTCTCTCTCTCTCTCTCTCTCTCTCTCTCTCTCTCTCTCTCTCTCTCTCTCTCTCTCTCTCTCTCTCTCTCTCTCTCTCTCTCTCAGGTGTGGCTGCTTACGATAGCCTAATTTTGATGTTGATTGTTTCTTGTTATGTCATATGACTGATCTTGCAGAGAAGTCATTTTTGCCGAGTAGAGACCCGGAGTGGTACTTCTTTGGACCCCGAGATCGAAAGTATCCTAACGGGTTCAGGACAAACAGGGCAACGCGTGCGGGATATTGGAAGTCCACGGGGAAGGACAGGAAAGTCTCGAGCCAGAATAGACCAATTGGTATGAAGAAGACATTGGTTTACTATAGAGGCCGAGCTCCTCAAGGAGTCAGGACCGACTGGGTGATGCACGAATATCGCCTCGATGACAAGGAATCTGAAGACACCTCTGGAATTCAGGTACGCACATTGCCGAGGTCATATTGAAATGCTTCACGAGTTTTTCCCATCTCTTTGCGAGGCAATCGTATTGTTGCAACAGTTGCTTTTTCTGATGATCAATTCCAAGATGCAAAGGCAAGAAAATCTTTTTCCATGAAAAAAAGTTGGCTAATGAGTATGACATTCATCATCTTTATGATTATCTCCATATAACTACCTCAGTGTAGTTCTGATTCAATTCATTCCTTTAAGTCCGATCCTACAAGATTAAGAGAGATTTTTTTGTCATTCTTATGAAATACATATACATATAAATCAACCTGTATCTTGTAGAACCAACAAAACTTATCATAAATCCCATATCTCAATTAGTGATTTTTATTTTCCTCGCTGAAATTTTTTCATAATCTTGATTTGGGTACTTTCTTTGTCATCTTTGGATCACAAAAAAACCAATTTACATATGTTCCCATATTTTTCTAAACTTGTGATTGATTATTTCATCCCACAATAAAGGTCTTGTGTCTGATTTTATCAACAAATTAGACAAAAAATGAGCATTAGGCTAACAAAAAACTCCTGTATATCCAACAGACAATCAAGAATTGATGATTTCTCCAGTTTTGCTCGATGCTCATTTTCGCGTCAAATTCTCTCAGAAGTAGGGCTAATTGATGAGAATAAGAGCTAATCAATGAGAATTAGAAGATGGAATTCTTTTCTTTAAGTTCTTGTTGTCACGCTATCTTTATACATGTAACAAAATACACGAAAAGGTTAAAAAAGAAAACCATCATGATGAGGGCCTCAAGTAGATGGAAAGAACACAGGATATCTAATGAGGATGATGAACGTGAGAAAGTGCATGATTCTTGCATGCATGAAAAGCTAGGGTTTTGCCACTCTCTCACTATACTAGATTTAACATCTTTCTTTATAAACGAGGGTCACATAATCTATTTTATACTACTCTGAAATGCATGACCATTGGCTATTCTTCTGACATATTCTTTACTTGCAATGGTGGTGGTCGCCATCTCTTGACCGACAAGTGTCTGCCTTCGCTTTCTCTTCCATAATCAGACAAAAGTACAATCGTCGTCCCCCATATGACTCGATCTCTTCCCCTTGTCCCAAAAACATAAAATATTCACTGATTTCTCCTGTCTCTCTTATGTCCTCTCGCTCACTTTTCCAGTCTTGTAGATTCCAGGATTAATCTAATATTAATTCTGAGCTTTGCAGCTACGAAAGCAGTATTTTTGGCGACATAAGCAGAATTTCAGCTTGCACTTTCACTTTATTGCTTGTCCAAGGGGGAAAAGGAAAGTGTCTTCCTAAGTTCTAGAATTATAAGCTCGATTATAGTAATCATATTTCCCAAAAAAACAAATTAAAACACGCGTCGATCTAAATGTCATGTCATCGTCCCAAAAAAGTATGTATGGAGATTGGAAATCATGGTGGTCATCTTCTTGGCCCGGCTTATCGGATTTCGGAACATATCATCCAAAACAAAAAGGCTTTCTTAGATCTCGAGTCCGGATCATTAGGTGATAATAAAGTGATTCGAGGTCAATTCATATAATTTTAAACATGATATAGATCTATAAACTAGATAGATTAATTGATGCTCCTCTCTGTCGCACTCTGATCAGAAGTCCCTTTAGTAGCTTTCTTGACCGACCCACTTTTTCAGTCAATTTCCAACTCTCAGTCTCTCATCAAATCCCTAATTTGTAAAAAGCAAATGCAATACTGGAATACCGATTGGTGCCTGAGAAAACTTTAAAACTCCAAAGTCAGCCCAAATTGTTGACCACTCCTCCCAAGAAAGATCTTTATTTTTCAAATCACGGCTAAATGGAGACAGGCATCCCCATCCAAGTTTCTTTCTTTGCCCCTCCCAATTTGAGGGATGATATGTAAATGTAAATAACATTTACATGAATTAGACGGCGCATGCCGCGTGAAGAATTGTCAACTTATTTCCTCATCGACTTTGACCCTGAAAAAGAGAAAAGGAAGAACTGCATCCGTATGTCTTGACATAACCTCCTTTATTAATCAAATTGGTTACAGGATTCATATGCACTCTGTCGTGTGTTCAAGAAAAATGGGTTTGGCAATGAAGTGGAAGACCAAGGCCAATGGAGCTTGTCCTTCGTGGAGAGCTCACAAGGTGTAGTCATGAGCCATGAGTGGGAAAACAACTCACCAGATGTCCCAATTGCATCATCCTCGTGCATAGATCAAGAGGATGACAAGGATGATTCATGGATGCAGTTCATCACCGATGATGGGGGCTGGGGCACATCAAACCCTAATGCTCCTCCAATGGGTGGAGATTTTGGGGAAGAAGTGTCTCCCTTGAATTTTTCAAATTGAGGAGGGTGATGCCTAATTTATTGTGATTGGTGGGGGAGAATAACAAGGAAATTACAAGTTCTTATTCTGATTAACTTAATTACAGTGTCAGCAAGTTTATTTAATCTTTGATTTTTTTGGGGGGGATTTCTAATTTGGCATACGACTGTATCCTTTTCTTATTTCTTTCTGTTTAATTTTTGTCATTGTGGTCTCTTTCTTGGTGGTGGCTTCTGCAAGAAACAAAGCTGTGAGCATGACTTGGGTTATTTTGACAATCATGTGTTTTGTGGTCATCTGGTTTTTCACATGTGTAATAACAACAGGGGAACAAACAACATTATGAAACTCAAATTGTATCTTCTCCTCAATCAATCCTTTGATCTTTATCTTAGAGCAAGCAAGATGTTCACGTGGTGGCAAGTGTCTGTTCATATCATTAACTCCATTTCAGCAGTTTTTAGAGCCATGGAGTCTCTTGTGAGTAACACAAAGAGATGATGCCAAATCATAACAACCGAAAGGCAAATTAAGCAGTTTTTAGAGCCATGGAGTCCCTTGTGAGTAACACAAAGAGATGATGCCAAATCATAACAACCGAAAGGCAAATTATGTCTACATAAAAAGGGAACAACTGGGTGACAAACAAACAAATCGATTAATCAGAGGGGTTATCTAATTCACAGTCTACATGATATTTGCCGAAAGGGGCAAAGAAACAGTGTTTATTGCTGGACTTTCCATTGCTGGAACTCTGCAGAGCTTATCATGAACGAACTAGCATTTCGATGTCCACCCCCTCCGAAATTCTACACCAAGTATGCACAACCAGCTTCAAGACTTTTAAGTCATAGAAATAATTAAATGAGTGTATACTGGAAATTACACGCTACCAAGAGAAAAAATAAATTAATTACCTGCGAAATGGGTGTAGTGTCTTCACCATTCAGGCTCCGAAGGCTAACTTTCAGTAACTGATCGTTTTCAAGTTCTGGCACTCTGTATACCACAGCACCGATGCCCCTAGTATGAGGGAACAAGATTAAAATGAGCTAAACATCCATTACGGTATGTACAATAGAATAGGGTCAATCAGCATTGAGTGCAAAACCATAGTCAACAGACTCAGGAATTGCAACAAATTTGGACTGAAACTAATGTGACGTGTTAAACTACTGTAAATACAGGGAAATAAATAGTAAATGAACATGACCAACCCTAGATGATGGATGAACAGACCTAGACCTAACTATCACAAATTTTTTACTCCCCAAAGTTCAATAGATTCAAATGGTCAAACCCCTGGTGAACTTTGCAATAGAAGAAACCGATACAATGCCCCACTAAGTCGCATCCTCCTGGCAATACCAAATTCAGAGCCCGTCTTAGTCTGCCTCGGTCAGAAGCGTGTCAACATTGAGAAATCTTGCAAAGGTTCTCTTGTCCACTTTTGCAAGCTTGCAAAAGAGTTCCATGAACAATTTGGGAATTAGACATGCGGATAATATGATGAATATGGGGCTATAAGCTCATAAAAATCCTTAGATACTGTGAGAAACACCACTCACAACCAAATCAACAAACCAATCATGGACAAGCCAACAGTGCATATATCTGATGGGAAAGTTTCCAGTTCAGATTCCACGAACCTCAATTTTATCTTGTAACTTTTATCTGCCAACTGGTTTCCTAATTCACTTCTCAATTCCGATATCGAGTCTGCATCGACAGCCTATGTGATACCAAAAAAAAAAACCATTAAATCTAATATACATATTCAACAATACAAGTCCGACTGATTTAGGCAAGCACCAGACCAATCCCAAAGCAACAAGTATGCCTTCATGATAAAATAATCAGCTTCTACAGGAAACCAACATAGACATATCAATAACTGTAAAATGAGGTATTGCTAAAATTTCTCAGATGATGATTAAAATTACAGGCACCATACCAGACAATGTCCAAAAGCTCCCAGAGAGATTTCATATGACTGGTCAAGCGCGTCATCTATCAACTTTTGCTTCTGTGATAAGCTCAACATGCCTTGGTTAATGATGGCCTCCAAATCTAAAGAAAGCAACTGCAAAAAATACAGCAAGTTTCGTAAAGACACGAACCTTTTTTTTTCTTTTCTTTCTTCTTTGTCAAAAGGACATGTTTTGATTGAGTTAAGCTTTTATCTGTCAAGTGCTATTTACAATGAGTTTATGTTGATATGGCTTATTTCGACAGGACAAGGAAGGGATATACATAATACCTATAGAGAGAAAGTATGCAAAGCTCAAAGAATAGCATGCAATGATTAGAAATCAAAACAAACCATTGCTTTCAAATTTAAAATATCTACTGATACTCGAAGAAACTCCTGTCCTCCTATTGGGTTATGGTGAAAAAAGCTTATGCTTAGACAGGAACTGTCCACCCTCGATCACCCAGTTCAAGTTAGAGTTGGTGCATCATATAATTCAGATAACAGTGTAGAATAAAACATCGAGTTCTATCATTGTAAGCATCCAATGCTAGCCACATCCACCGTGGTGCCCACGCCTTTTACGAAGCATGCATACATATATGGGGAAGTAACATGATAATCTATCCGGTGCCTTCATTGCTTTTTCGTCAAAGTCCACAACTCTATGATCAGATGAGAATCTGGTAACTCTTTCTGTGCTCAAAGAATAAAACTGATGGTGTCCAAATCACCTGCTGAAACAAAGAGGGATTCAATTGGACATCAAATTCAATGTTCAAGTCCTTCAAACCGCTAGAGAAAGCTTTGCTGTCAGGGAAATGCCATCGCCACAGATCCCCATCTTCAATGTACTCAAACAATCTCCTCATCCTCTCAAACTCTCGAACTTTATCGTCCTCCGCAAGCTTCTCTTTGAAGTAATCATAAGCAATCGTAGCTCCACTCCTCTCCATATCTAAAATCTTAACAACATTTTCCGCAACATTGCAATCATCGCCAGTTAGCATCTCAAGGGCAGTCTTGTGATGATCCAAAATAACCACCCTACACCCACAAAAGCAAAAGGAAAATAAACCACAAAAGTTCTGCTACATCATCCCACAAAATTTACTTTGATGAACTGTGTTGGTCACCATTGTACGTCAGGCATATCTTTGACCCTCCCCTCACTCACAAACATCTTAAGAATATGTGAAATTCACGATATGAACCAAAACAAATTAATAGATAACTAAAACGGATCTTTTCTTTAACAACAAGAATCGAGAAATGAGGCACGACAATTAGAAATCAACATCAAGAAACAGACATTCATGATTCACCCAGAAGCCTGAGCTTGTGCCCATGTTGACCCAGAAAAGAATTTGCTCATCAAGCACAGAGTCTCAAACAAACATACAGATAAAGAAAAGGGACATTCTAGAATGCTACAAATCAAGAAATGAGGCACCAGAATTGGAAATCAACACCAAGAACCAGCCATCCACCCAAGAGCCTGAGCTCATGCTCCTGTTGACCCCGAACCAGAAGAAACATTGCTTATCCAGCACCCAAACAGTAAACACAAAGCAAGATACAGCTGAAGTAACTATAGAATGATTTACCTGGAGACATGGGGGGAGATTTCTCGGACGAAACCGGAGGGACCCACGAAGTCGAGAAGGTAGAGGTCGTCGATTTCGCGGAGAGGGAGGTGGCTGGGAGCGAGGGGAGCGTAGACTGTGTTGGGGAAGAAGAGAGCGGGAAGAGAAGTGGCGGAGAAGTAAATATGAGCTGCCAGAGCGGCAAAGGCGCCATCTGGGCATGGGTAGTGGTACAACACCGCCGCTTTCTTCGTGGTCCCGAGCGCGGCCATGGCGTTGTTCAAGCCCAAGCTACAGTTGAGAGCCATTGATGGACCATTTCATTGCTACTGCGGTTCTGCTGGCGGGGACCAACGCAGAAGTAGACGAAGAAGAAGAAGAAGGAGAGAGCGGGCCAATCGGGTTCTGTTGTCGCATAACGGGCTAGGCGCAGCCCGGTGCTTAGTGGGCTTGAGCGAGCGTTCCAATGGGGGCCATCTTACCTCTCTCTCTCTCTCTCTCTCTCTCTCTCTTCCCATCCTCCGTCAGAGGCAGTACCGCACGCTGAAGAAGCAACAATGGCGACTGGTGGCATCGTCTTCCTCGCGACGGCTCCGCCACCGTCGCTCTCCGGCGAGGCTCGTGTGGGGCGAAAGGCCAAGCGTCAGCACAGCTTCCCGCTTCTCTCGCGCTGCGCCCCTCGCGCTTCGCTCAAGCAGAATTTGCCCGCTTCGCCTCTCCCGCGTCGCGGTTGCTCTGTGTTGGCTTGCCTCCCTCCTCCTTCTGCTTCTCCTTCACCTTCTTCGTCGTCTTCGTCCTTGAGCAAGAAGCTCTATGTCAGTGGTCAGGTCACTCTTCCTCTTCCTCTTCTTTCTTTGGTCAGTCTTCAAGATGAGTTTTTTCTTGTTTAATTACTATTTCGCAGTCGTCCGTTAACTAATGCGGATATCGTTCAGCTGAAATTTGCAATACCCATTAGCATCCTTTACTTAATTATTGACTATCCGGACGGAGTTTGACTGAATTTGAGTTGCTGCGATTGTGTCACGATGTCCTTTGCATTTCAATTTGTGTAAATTGGCGGTAAATGCTCCGTTTCTGCTCATGTTAGCGCTTCGAATTCCGACTTATATGGCTTGGCTATTGTTTAATCAACTATGTAGAGTTTTCTGGATTGAGATGCCATGTTTCTTGAAGTGTTGATCTTTTCAAGTTACTTTCTTCGCCTGTTTTGGCATTGGATTCTCGTCATCCTTCTTCGTGTAATACATGTGATGTTTAGTGCAAACGATGTAGTTCAATTATCGCAAGACAGACTCGTGCATGCGTGAGGCCAATTCTGCGGATTTTTGCAGCGATCGATGGAAATATGATGGTTGGCGGTTTTTATAATGAGGGCTTACTGTTATTACAATAGCCTAAACAGATGGGTTTTGATGCCTCTACGTCTTTTTGAGTGTTGATGACTCAAATGTCTGTTATGCCGCTCCGATGGTCGGCGAATTGTCAGTTTCAACACTACTTTGTGGGCTGAAAGTGGTGATACATGATGTTTGGTGATAGTTATGCATCCCAAGTATGAAATGATGATGAGTTCTACCTCATTTGAAAGCGGAAATTCTCTCTAAGGCTACTGTAGAGAATCGTATGAGGCACGGTTTCTTCCGTAGTGATCTTATGTGGTTCAGCGTACTACACAGGGCTTTCTTTTCGGACCACTGAGGAGAGTTTAAGGAACGCTTTCAAGAACTTTGGTCAGCTTGTGGAAGGCAAGAAACATTTTTTCCTTATTCATCTGTTTTGTGGTTGTTTTACTACTTGATTGCTTCATATCTTCCATCCATTCCTACATAGATTCAGGTCCTGAAAAAAAGGTCTTTTGCTGCACAGTTAATCTGGTGATGGATAAGATTGCAAATAGACCGAGAGGATTTGCTTTCCTTCGATATGCAACTGAGGAAGAGGCTCAAAGTGCCATTGAAGGGATGCATGGGAAGGTAAATGCCGAATATCTTTGAAGCCAAAGAGTTCTATCTATGTATACAAAGTCCATAAGAAAGTAGATCACCTTGGCTTGGACATCAAGTCAATGATCAGTATTACATATATTTGTAATGTTACTTGTTATTTTGAGGGTTTCTGTGTTTCTTTTTACTCTTTTTTTGGGGGGATGGTGTGTCGAAAAGCTATGAAAATTAGAGCCCTCTATCTTGTGTTTTGGAACTGACTAGTTGCCAAGCAAGACAAAAACCATGAGTGAGTCATTTGTGTACTCTTGGAAACTATTCAACTGGTTGATTATGCTCTTCTTTTTCCATTGGTCGAATACTTCGAGAAAATGCAGTTACAAAAGTATTGAAATTTGTGGGTTGATTTTTACTTATCTTCTGGAGGATCATGCCCCTTGATGAAAGCCCCGTCTAATAATGCCTTGAAAGAATTTCAACCGCAAATCGCTAACATCTTCTTTCTCCAGTTTCTGGATGGCAGGGTGATATTCGTAGAAGTCGCAAAACCAAGGTCGGAGCTCCGCCAAATCCAAAAACAGAACCCGAGATAGCATTGAAGAACCCGAAAACTGCACTTTCTTATGTTTGCATCTTCTGTCTGCCTCTTCATTAGAGAGAGAGAGAGAGAGAGAGAGAGAGAGAGAGAGAGAGTCAAAAGCTTTTTAGGTTATGCTCTCTGAAGGCGATATGGTGCTGTAGGAACACAAATATGATGCATTCTTTCTAACTTTTATTGTTTGTCCTCTTGATTGAAAGTCTAATTTCTTTAGCGGGCTTACAGTTCTATAGACATCTTGTATGAATTCCGAGTTCGAAATGATCAGTATCCTCAGAGCCACTGAATATCGAGAACAGAGTTGTTCTCACTCTGAAACTGCGGACAGCTAATCTTTCAAGGTCTCTCAGATCAACTTGATAAAGGTTCCTCTGCAGAGCTGAAAAATGAACTTGGCTAAATCTCGCCACGATGCTTGCCATATTCATGATAGTTACTCGTTCGACGTCTTCTTTGTGTCAATAATGTATCGCGCCTGTCTTAGACATGCAATGCGTCGTGTAGAAGACACTCGACAAGCGAAAGCCCGAGATGAGGGGAAAATAAACTATGGCATAGGCTTCAAACTTTTACCGCCTCAAAAATGTTTGATTGCTTTGGAATGAATTCTGGTCCGTGTCTGTCTTCCTTGCAAGCTCCGGGATTCGCTATTCGCTTTCTCGGCGCGGCCGGAATAGGAGGTTTTCATTTCATTTTTTGTCCCCAGGTTGTAAGGACTCATGTAATCTGCTCTTGCTTTGGCTGTCAAAACGAATGGATGCTAGGAAACGTTCGTTTGGCGGAAAATATTCTCTTTTTGGAAAATATTTTCCCGGAAGTTATTTTCCTGAAAAATGTTTTTTTGGAACACAATTTTTCTGGTGTTCGGCTAAAATCTGAAAAAGTTTCGGAAAATATTTTTTGGTGTTCGGCGACCGGCGGCGGCGGCGGGCGGTGATCGGCGGTGACCAATGATCGACGGCCGGCAGCGGCGACCTGTGGCAACCGGCGACGGGCGGCGGCGGCGATCGGTGACCGGCGACGAGCGGCGGTGGCGATCGGCGACCGGCGGCGGGGATCGCGACCAACGGCCGGCGGCGGCCGATGACCGACGGTGGACTCGGCGACCGACGATCGGGGGGCGGCGGCTAATGATCGACGGTGATCACGACTGGCGGCGGCGACGGCGACGGCGATCGGCGGCCGCCGATCGACGGCGGCGACCGTCGAACGCCGGCGGTGGCGACCACGCGGTCGGCGGCGGCGACCGGTGGCGTGACGCGGTCGCTGCTGACAAAGTGGCGCGGCGGCGGCGGCCAAGAACCGCGGCCGCCGCTAACCAAGAAGAATGGGCCGACTGGCTGACGGCGGCACGACGGCAGTGGACCGGGCGATCAACTTCCTCTCCCACGGAAAATATTTTCCCTCCCATGGGCAATTTTGCCTTCCCTTTGGGGGAAAATGATTTCCTTTTAGGCAAAATTGCCCATGGGAGGGAAAATGTTTTTCGTGGGAAGTTATTTTCCGCCCCCAAATACTGAAAAATCCAGAAAATATTTTCCTGAAAAATATTTTTCGTCAAATGAACGGAGCCTAATTGTCAAGCTATTCGCCTTACAAGTCGCCCAAACAGAGACCAAAGACTTCCGTACTGTAGCTGCTGCCCATCGAAGTTCTTTAAGCTAGTTTGACTTTGATTCCTCCATTGTCATTTTATTCTTTTTGATCTCTCGTGGCCTACCATCCATGTGCTGTGTTTGACTTTGATAATCTGTGCGCTAGTCTAGCTCCATTACATTGCGGGAAATTTTCAATTTGGGGCCAAAGTGAGCCCATTTTCTCAAAATGGGGTCCCAAGTGTAATCAGTCTCAAAATGGGGTTTCAAGTGCCCAATCAGTCTCAATTTGATACCTGGGTTCGCCGGCCGGCCAAATAGTCACCGGCGGCGAGTTTTTTTACTGTTCCGGTGGCCGGAACAGTAATTTTTACTTTTTAATTTTTTTTTTTGCTTTTTTCTTTTCTCTTCTCTCCGCAAGCCCCGGCTATGGCCGGCGGAGGCTGCCCTCGCCAGCGTCGGGGAGGGCCGCCCCGGCGAGGGCCGCCCAGCCTTCCCCGATGGCCCTCGCCCGACGCCGCAGGCGAGGGCGACCCTTGCCCTCGCCGACGTCGGGGAAGGCTGGGCGGCCCTCGCCCGACGCCGGCGAGGGCAACCCTCGCCGACGCCGGCGAGGGCAACCCTCGCCCCGGGTAGGCGAGGGCGACCCTCGCCGGCGTGCGGGCGAGGGCCGCCCTCGCCTCACTGGGCAGCAAGGGCGACTTGCCTCGCCGACGTCGGGGAAGGCTGGGCGGCCCTCGCCCGACGCCGGCGAGGGCGACCCTCGCTAGATCCGGCGAGGGCACCGCGTCGGCCACACGATCGACACGAGCTAGAGCACGCCTGAGAACCCCGTCCCCGAGCCCGGCTCGGGCAGCTTCGTGGAGAGGTACGGCGAGCTGAGGCGGAAGGTGAGGAAGGAGAGGGAACCGGAGAGGGAGAGGAGGAGGTGGGAGGAGGAGGTGGGAAGAGGAGGGGGCCGCGGCGCCCACGCTAGCGGAGCTGAGGCTGTCGGAGGAGGAGCTGAGGAGGCTGAGTGGGATCTGGCGAGGGTCGCCCTCGCCGGCGTCGGGCGAGGGCCGCCCAGCCTTCCCCGACGTCGGCGAGGGCAAGGGTCGCCCTCGCCCGCCCAACCGAGGCGAAGGCGGCCTCGACCGCCCGGTGAGGGTCGCCCTCGCCGGCGTCGGGCGAGGGCCGCCCGGCCTTCCCCGGCGTCGGCGAGGGCGGCCCTCACCTGTGGCGTCGGGCGGCCCTCACCTGCGGCGTCGGGCGAGGGCCGTCGGGGAAGGCCGGGCGGCCCTCGCCGGGCGGCCTCCCCGACGCCGGGCGAGGCAGCCTCCGCCGGCCATAACCGGGGCCGGCGGAGGGAAGAGAAAAAAAAAAGCAAAAAAAAATAAATTAAAAAGTAAAAAATTATTGTTCCGGCCACCGGAACAGTAAAAAAACTCGCCGCTAGTGACTATTTGGCCGGCCGGCGAATCCAGGTACCAAATTGAGACTGATTGGGCACTTGAGACCCCATTTTGAGACTAATTGCACTTGAGAACCCATTTTGAGAAAATTGGCTCACTTTGGGCCCCAAATTGAAAATTTCCCTTACATTGCTGAACACAGTTATCACGACGGTACTAACGTTCAAAGCAATTCCAGATTTTTTTAATGTAAATCATCATCCACTGCGTAAACAGAAATGAACAGACTTTCACCGAAGGAGTCGACTTTTTCTTTCCATCCTTCTCATTTCCTTGCATGTTACAAGCTATTACAACTTCAAACCGTTAACTAATTCAATCCATCATCCATGCACACATCACTGGCTCCCACCACCTGGTCATTAGCATCCATGGCGGATCTCAGGCGAAAGAAGAACGTGAGCTTTAATCTCGAACCCTTCTGTAAAACACAAAAGCGTTGACATTGACTGAAAGACACTGCAAATTGAATCCATCACGCACGCGCCCTCGGGTACGCGACCAAATTTGATTAGCTAAGTCGCAAAGTTGGATTTGCTTTTTACTGATCCTGAGAATCTGAAGACCCTCCAAACACGGCGCTCAAGATCGACGACCCGACGCCCAAAATGGACGTAGACGAGGAATCCCCTCCTCCACCATTGCCACAATAGCCGGAGCCATCGTTGCCGCTACTGTTCCCGCCGCTAGTGCTGCCTAGCATCTCCTGCACAAGGGTCTGTGCCGCCTGATCGGCAGCGCTATTGATGAAGGTCTGCCACGCTGAACCCATCAGAGAGTTGTTTCCTCTGGCCTCTGCAGGCGGCGGCGGCGGCGGCAGCTGAGAGTTGGGTACGGCTCCCATGCTATAACAGTGCATGATGTGGTTAGGCGGCCCCGGTTGAGTCGTGGGTCCCGTGATGGGAGGCGCGGTCTGGTTAGGGTATTGATGCCAATGGCTATTGGTTGCTGCTGGAACTGAATTGTAGTGTTGTAGCTGCGACCGCGGCTGTGGCGATGATGGTTGTGCGACTGCACCTGTGAAATTCGTAATGACATAATTCAACTCAATCATTTATCTACTACCGATAAAAAGAAAATAACAAAGGGTTGGATGGACTTCAGTTTTTCAGGTCAAGTTTGATACTAAATTTAAGATCAAAACTACTTATCGATCTATCTTCTATGCTTATCTAAAATGTTTCGACTTCAAGCCGATTCAAACCTACGTGCGTACCTGTGGCACAGTCCAAGTGCGCGTCGAACTCGCACAAGCCGCACCGGTAGAGCCAATGGTACGCCCCGGCACCACGGCACACGTCGCACGAGAACCCGCGCGCTACGTACGGCGGGTAGAACGCGAGGCCGAGGGCGTGGGGGTGGAGGCGGTGCGTGACGGAGAGGGGCTTAGACGCGCAACCGACGTGGAGGTCGAAGTGGCACTCCCCGCAGTGGTAGCTGAAGCTGGTGGCGGCGCGGCGGCCGCACGCGTCGCAGTTGAAGGAGCCGCTGGGGTAGGCGGGGGATGGGAGGAGGGAGAGGGGGTGCTTGGGGTGGGAAGGGTGGGCGATGAGAGGGGGCAGCTGGGCGCAGGACGCGTGGACGGCGAAGCCGCAGGGCGGGCACGAGTAGATCCACGGGCCGCCCGAGGATAGCGGGTGGTGGCAAGCCGAGCATACAGTTGGTTGTTGCCGCCGCCGGTGGTGGTGGTGGTGGTGGTGGGGGTTGTTGCTTTGGAGGTTGGAGAGTTGCAAGGTGTGGGGGTGGCTGAAGTGCTGGATTTGTGGGTCGTAGCTTAGCCTTCCCATGCTCTCTCTAACTCTCTTCTCTCTCTAGATGGAGATTGTTCAGGCCGAGAGAGTTCGTGTTGTCCAGAGGAGGAAGAGATCATGCGTGTCTGAGAGAGAGAGAGAAAGATCGTTGACTTTGTGGGGATAGCCGCCGAGTCAACGTTTTGCGCGTCTGGTTGGCTCGTACAGGATTGCACATTTGGAACCCCGTTTTTTTTTTCTATTCCCACGAGACATAATGGGCTCCAGAGGTCAACGACGGGCCCAAGTCAACTGCGATGCATGCTCCTTCTACACCAGCCCAAGAGCACAAGATACGTCGCATTTCAGACAGGACCTACGCACCGCGTTCGAATAAGGGGAACATAGTTTTCTGAGTTCGAAACTACGTTCCCTCCGGTCGGTGGCGTGACCGTCGCACGACATGCTTTCTCGATTGGCCGGCGTAAATGATCACGAAAATGTCAGGACATTAGTGATGTACGAAGGCATTGAAGGGTTTTAGCCCACAGCTTAGCAGCACTGGTAGCTTTTTTTCACTATTACCTTTCTTCTGTTTCTTTTGGGTTTGAAGGTTCCCTCAAGAGTCAAAAACTGAACCGTGAAAAAAGTGATGTAAGATTGTGGACTGAGTGTGCTCTTGTGCTAGCGTTAAGATTGCACAGTGGTTTTGATTGCACTTTTTGGACGTGAGAGCCGAGGTTTGTACCTGTGTCCAGGGCCTGTCTCTTTTGCAGTACTCAAGTTAATGCTCCCCAATAAAGGCTTTGTCTACCCAAGTCCCTTTGCTTCGTTCTCTCGCGGCCCTAAGGCTGCGAATGATGACCATTCTGTTTCTCTATTTCTGTTTCAGAAATAGGTTTGGAACAGAAATCCGTTTGGTAACGCAATTTCAATTTCTATTTCTGGAACAAATTTTTGTTCCAGAAATAAGTTTGGAACAGAAATCAGAAGTTAAAATTTTTAGCTTCTCTATTTCTGGAACAGAAATGAGAAATATAAATTTTTCTCATCGCTCGTCCTCGCTACTAGGCCGGCCACCCCCGTCGTCGCTCACTATTGCCACCGGCTGCCTCCCACCACCGCCGACTGTTGACCACCGGCCACCTCCCGCCACCATCGGTCGCCAGCCGCCTCCCACCGCCGGCTGCTGCCCAAAAAAAAAAAAATTCCAAAAAATCCTTAAAAATTGAAAAATTCCAGAAAAATTCATAAAAATTTCTAGAAAATAAAAAAAAGTCAGATTTCGGGAAAATACGAAATTTGTTCATTTTCTCCAAAAAAATAAAACAATTTCAAAACTTCACAGAATGGCTTATAATACTTGTGGCCAATCACTTTGAGTGAAATTTAAATTTTTTGAGGTGCCAAAAAAAATAAAAAAAATCAAAAATTTCAAAACTTTACAGAATGGCTTAGAATATATGTGACCACCCACTTTGTGTGAAATTTAAATTTTTTGAGGTGCCCAAAAAAAATCCAAAAATCAAAAATTTCAAAACTTCACAGAATGACTTAGAATATCTGTGGCCACCCACTTTGAGTGAAATTTAAATTTTGAGGTGCCCAAAAAAATTTAAAAATAAAAAATTTCAAAACTTGACAGAATGGCTTTAAATACCTGTGGCCACCCACTTTGCTTAAAATTTAAATTTTTTGAGGTGCCAAAAAAAACAAAAAAATTCAAAACTTCACAGAATGACTTAAAATACCTGTGTCTACCCATTTTAAGTGAAATTTAAAATTTTTAGGTGCCAAAAAAATAAAATAAATAAAAAAATTTAAATTTCACTCAAAGTGGGTGGCCGCATGTATTCTAAGCCATTCTGTGAAGTTTTGAAATTTTTTATTTTTTGATTTTTTTTGGGCACCTCAAAAAATTTAAATTTCACTCAAAGTGGGTGGCCACAGGTATTCTAAGCCATTCTGTGAAATTTTGAAATTTTTGATTTTTTTTGGAAAAAATGAACAAATTTCCTATGTTCCTGAAATCTTATTTTTTTATTTTCCGGAAAATTTTATGGATTTTCTGAATTTTTTTTAGATTTTTAGGAATTTTTCAAATTTTCAAATTTTTTTATTCTATTTCTAAAAGAAATGAAGTGATTGTCCGCCGCCTGCCGTCCACTCGCCGGCCACATGAGAAGGAGAAATTTTGTACCGTTATCAAACAAATTTATGTTTTTGAAATAGAAATTTGGTGTCGTTATCAAACATGTTTTTTAGCTTAGAAACTCCTCCAGAAACAGAAATAGAAAAATCAATTTCTAGCCAGAAATTGATTTCTGAAATAGAATGATTATCATTCGCAGCCTAAATCACCAGCAAAGAAATGTTTTTTTGTGTCGAACTCAATCGCTAACTCCTTGTTATCGGACATCATAGGACATTAAATGCTCATCACTTGGTGTCCCGTATCTTGAGAGCAATTTATATACACAATCCATCGTGTCACGTTGCGACATTGTGTCATGTAACGAAAGGTTCAAAGTGCACTCTCATAAATCATTAGACGACTTATCTAGAATTAAAAAACGTGACACAATCTTGTGAGAAGTCCATTTTCTTAGTTAGTGTATGTTAAGTTTATCTTTAGTGAAGAGATTGCAATGTTGGGAAATTTCGTGAAGTGAAGCAAATTTAAGAAACACATGTAATTACAATACTTATGTTACACAATCGATCATAGAGACGTACTTGGTTCGAATTCAAACAATCCCTCTCTCCCGACTTTGCTAATTAAGCCTTCAACTTTGTTAAGCACGTATTGATATTATTTTCTTCTTTTTTTGGATTAACAACAAGAATTGTTATATTACACCCTTTTTAAGCCAATTGATGATCAATAATGAGTTGCTACTTCCCTTAGATAACACGAATCGACTCTTGCAATCGAAGGGCAATTTGATCACTTAACATAAAGATGGTGTGTTTTAGCCAAAAAGAGCGCGAAAATAGCGTTAACCATCCATGACCACTAGGACAACTTCCTAATATGACATTGATTACCTCATGTGATCACTTTTACATATACATGTCAAGTTTATGCTTTTGACTTTTCTAGGGTTTGCTATAATAATAGTCTAGCAAGCAAAGAGTTATGTGTAGACGTGCCATGTACAGTTATACAGCACAGTGAAAAGGATGTGCAGAAACCATGAAGAAGAATCTCTCTCTCTCTCAATATGTTCCAACAATGGCATATGGAGGATGGCTGTTGCTAGTTTCAACAAGCCTCCTTTGGGTCACTTGTCATGGACGGATGAATATGTCAAACAGTCATGTTATGATGCATTGATCATCTTGAACCTAAAGTAGCAAGCTCACAAGATTTCAGATCTAGACTTTCCCGTTCTCCTTTGGGCCCTAGGCAAGGACTTATGGCACCCACATGACACTAGTAAAAGTGAAAAAAGAAGAAGTAAATTTTGCTCCTGGTTTCGAGTATATTTAACCCCTAATAATATACTTTACATGGTATACCTTACTTCATCGATTACAATGCTCATGCAAATGAAATACAATTCATAACGATTTCCACATTATTATTGGCATAAAATTATCAAAGGAATGGCTTTCTTCATAAAAATATGTTTGGCACAAAAGTTTGGAATAAACTCCCATATGCACTTGGAAAAGCTCATCTTCCTATTGTAATCGTGACATGTTGCACGCAAGAATAATAGAACCCTTTTGTAAGTATTGATCAAGTCGTGTCCCTCTACCACGTACCTAATGATCCAACGATCATTTGCAGTGTGCTTTCTATAGTAAAGCAAAATTACCTCAATGTAGTATATCAAAAGCTATATCACAATTAAGAGAATGGCATGCCTTGGATCGATGGAAATCCTTACCGTTTTAGTCTTATAATAGCTCATTAAGCAAAATTAAAGATAAGACAGAGAAGGCGGCTTTCATGGGTGTGATGATGATGAAATGGGTACGTTGGGGCCTAGTTTTGATGGCAATTTCAGGTAAGGACAATCAATTTCAAGGGCCGTCACATAACTTCAGCAGGGAAACCCATAACATGTTCTCCAAGAAACTGTGTCCCCATCTGGCAGCCATGCCAAAAAACTTCTCTCTTCCTTCCACCCACGTTTTTACTGGATAAATTCATCTCCTACCCACCAAGCAAACTCAAACCCCGCTATTCACTATGAATATGAGAGAGAGAGAGAGAGAGAGAGAGAGAGAGAGAGAGAGAGAGAGGGGTGTTAATGGAGCTCAAATAACATTCATCATATAATAAAAGTCCCATGAAGAAGTCAATGCCCGAACCATACAACCCCTCTTGATGTGTTGCTGCACAAGAAAGTGAAAAGAGACGGGAAACAGGGGGCCCAAGAAGTACAGAAGCGAAGGGGTCCCAAAAAGAAAAACTCTCACGCATATATATGGTGCGTTCTTGACTTCTCTTGAAACAACCAATGACACTCCAGTGTAAATTTCGTCAAAACTCCAAAAAACCCACAAAAAAGAGAAAAAAACCCTCTCGAGTTGGCGTTAATTCGAACAAATGAGTTTCAGCAGTAGCAGTAAATTGGTGTTGAGAATGCATTCAAAGTCTCCCAACTAACCAAACACTCCCTCCACCTTTTCCTTTGCATTCAATTCCCACCAGCGTCCCAAAATCGAACTCACTCCACCTTGAATTCTTCTGATCTCAATATTTAAAGTTATGGCACAGAGAGAGAGAGAGAGAGAGAGAGAGAGAGAGAGAGAGAGAGAGCGAGAGCGAGATGAAACAGTTGTTATTGTTGTGTTGTGGCAGAGCAGGGTGGTGATGAGAGTGATGATCCATATCATCAAGAGCCAGGACAGTTGAGGGCAGCCTTTATTTGGTGCACAGTGGTGGAGATAAGATTGTTCACAGTGGTCACCGACTCAAGGTTCAGCTTCGCCGACGGCAGGCTGCTCACCAGTATCTGGAACGCCACAGTCATCAGCGACCCCCCTGAGCGGCCGGTCGACCCCTGCCTGGCCACCACGGCAGAGCTGGACGACGCCCCGTCCCCAGGGTCAGGCCCGCCATCGGGGGAGATCGTGAACCCCGACGGGAGCAGGGGGATGTAGGAGGGGTCCTCCCCGCTTATCGCGAGGTTGATTGCTGGCAGGTCGACTGGGCAGTACACAACGAGAGACCCCGATGAGTCAATGCAGCTTTCTTGGAGTATCAGCATGTTGTTTTGACTCGTGTTATAGGCCTACAGTAACATTTAAACAAAATGCCCAGTTCACAGCTCGAATTCCAACTAATGATAATGTGAAAGAAGGGACCTAACGAGATGTAATATTAGAGAACTAAGAAACTAAATAATCCTGAAGAACTGTACCCTTAAAACAGATATGCAATTTCCAGGATGTGACCCATTTGCTATGTGTGCAACTTCCTGAACTGCATTGCCATTGGAGAGAACATCCCACTGAAATGAAATAATTTAAACAAAGAATAAATCGATAAATTACTAGAATTGGTTGATGCTGACAACATTGATCGATGGAACAGTAACCATTGAATACAGCCAGAAAATTGTCGGTACCTGAGCTCGAGTTCTTTCGTCTTTGAAGAAATTAAAGACGTTTTGTGGGGAAATCGGGAGCCAAATGGTAGTGGCTGCACTAAGAACAACACCGTTGGGTTGGCCTGGATCTGTGCTCTTATGAAGAGCCACGCGGACCCCGACCTCGCTCGAGCCGGAGAGTGTCGTCCAGTGCTGCTGCCTGCTAGAGGACGTGCTAATGCTGCCGCAGAAATTGTTCACCATCCTCTGCGCTAGTTTCATCATGCTTCTCTTTCCATCGGGCGACGGTATTACTGAAGAAAATGCATTAAGTAGATCCATTAAGGAGTAAAACAATTAACGACTAGCTAGGGGAATTCTGAGAGGAATTGTGAGGTTTACCTCCTCCGACGTCATGAGTCGAGCTACCTGTCACCATTAGACAGGCGATCCTCTCGCACATTCTCTCCAAAGTGGCGATCCATCGTTCAGCTCCAAATGCTAAGCCGCTGTAAATGAGGTCTCTATAGAGCCGATGAATCGGGGCTTTGTCTTCTATTTCCACATGTTCCACCCAAGTGACCTACATGAGCATCAATTCAAGTAGGGCCACACCCACCATTACATGAAACTTTCTCGGGGATTGAGGGGGCAAAGGAAGGAAGGTTTATTACGTGGGAATTCAATAACGACCTTGGAATACCCGTTAGGAAGGTCTTGTATCAAGCAGCCGGAAGGGAGTCTCTGAGATCTACTTTGAGAAGCAAATTGGTCATATCTTGAAAGGTCGAAGGAAACATCCACTATCGCCCACAAGCCTTGCTCGATCTGTTGGCAGTATCGGAGGAAGTAGAACTCTCGAGTTGGTAAAAGCGGCGAAAGAACTTGCAATTCTCCATACATCTGCATTTTCTCCCGTGGATGAGAATTTAATTTGAAGCATGTCGCAAAATAAGAAATCATAAGCGAAAGAGGACTTGCAAAATGTGTTACCAGTTGCAAAGAACCATGGTTCTTTCGACTAGTTAACAGCCCTGGTGATATCACTTCGATTGTTTTTGCAGCTGAAACAATTGCGGGAAAGAGCTCCGCCCATTTGTTCTGCAAGGTTGTTCGACCGACTAGTCAAGGAAAAGAAGCCGCCTCAGTTCAGCGTACGACAATACAAGAGATACCGGATGAACTTACCGAGTCCATAAACATGTCTATCAATGCCAAACCATTCATTATTACAACACGTGATTCTCTCGACGCCTCAGCGCGGATATCTGGATTTTTGAGGTGACTACTGGCCCTAGGAAACATTCTCTCGTAACTTTCGAGATTGAGAGTGTCCCTCCCATCGGTAGCTGACTTCATCCATAAAGGCTCATCTGTCTGAGCAAGCCTAAGAAATTCATCCAAAGCATTAGCTGCTACATCTGCCATTAAAGACTTATCCATGTCCGAGAAAACAACTGCTTGAGCAGGCAAATGTGGCACAGAAGATGAACTGCCAGGAAGTAGATCAAGGTCAAGAGAAGGGCCTGCCAGTCCATGGGCACTGAGACTACTCATCGTCAAATCCAGAGAAGCAATATGAATTGGTTGAACAGGTGGGAGTTGCGAAATTGGCCTCCCGATGTACTTGGCCGCAATGCTAGAAACTCGATCGAGCTAGAAAGATTACAACATGGATAAAAAATGGAAAATTAAACAAATGAGAGCCCAAATGCATGAAGTCAAAATACAAAACCGCAGGAATATTGTGGAAATAAGTATTTAAGAGATTCATTTTTGGGCAAGTTCAATTCACCTCTTCTTTCAAGTGTGCATTCTCCATCCGCAGTTTTTGTTCATCGAAGTAAGAATCTTCGCCTGAAGGCGCGGTGCCACAACTTGGGCAAATGACGTTCCTCAAGGTCTCTCTTATCACGATGTTTTCGCATCGAATCCTATCGTTTTCTGCCCTCAATGCACAATTATCAGCCCTTTCATGCTGGGCCTGATTTGGATAAAACAGAAGGGTTTAAGGTTGCAGTAAAGGCAAATCAAAACAACTTCTTATCATCTTCAAAACAATCCCAACCAACGAAAGGTAAAATAAATGAATTAAGTGAAGAAACCTTCATCTGGGTTCTCCTATTTTGGAACCAAAATTTAATCTGTCTCGGAGCCAATCCCAATTCTCGGCTCAACTCCATCCGCTGCTTCTCATCTGGATGAGGACATTCCTTGAACATACTTGATTTTTTCGCCGCGACAGTAACAAAAAGAAGCATCGAAAATCTCAGAACCTCAGTATCATTCAAAAGCAAAAAAAAAAAAAGAGGTAGCAAAACACAAAGACCAGCATCTGCAGAGCAACAAGCAGAAGCTGAAGTGTAACTTAAACGTGTACTAACAGCAAAATTCTCTTAGGCCCACAACTAGAAAAACAAAAGGGGCAACAAAAAAATCCACACAAGCAGACATAAAGCATTCAACTTTTTGAATGAGAAGCAAGAAACATGGGAAAAAAAAGGGTAGTGTGTTTTCGTGCAAACAAAAAAAATGTAAAAGGACCATAAAGAAAACTTACGCTTCAAGCCTCTGAATCTGGTGAGCAGTATGGCGGTGGTACCGCTTCTTCCTCCTCTGGGGGTCGGAACCGTCGTGGTCCCCGCCGGAACCGCCGCCGAAATCCATTCCTTCTCTCTTCCCTCGCCTCTCTTCGCCCTCAACACCGCAAGCACGTGCAGAAACCGTCGTCACGTGAAGCGCCACGGTCGCCGACAGTCCTCGCGAACATCGTCACGCACGAAGCAGAGAGTTACGAGGACGAAGCAGAAGAACAACCTTACTGGCGACAAATACACAATCTTGGACGCCACCCAACACGCATGCCAGCAAGAGCGAGTCCTACATAGAGAGCCCCCGAGTACAAATTTTTTTTTCGAGAGTGATCATCTCTCACCGCCTGGTGAATATAAACGTACCCAGAATCGAAGATTCGGCCATGATTCTTGTTCCGGGGGAGGAGCGAGTTAAGGCCCAAATTTAGCCAAAATTTTCTCTGATTTTGTTTTTCCTCCAAAGGGAATAATGCGCAATTATGAAGGGAAAAAACAGCACCAAGACACAACACTCTCGCTCTCTCTCGCGCACAAACTCGAACAGGCTCCGCCCGCCCACGTAACTGACGATGGGTTTTAAAGCCAAAGTTCTTTCCTTTTCTCCTCGTCTCTCTCTCTCCCTTTCGACCCCAGAGAAGACGAAGCAAGCAGAGAGAGGAGAGAGAGAGAGAGAGGTGGGATCAAGTTCTTTTTTTTTTGCTAGAGAGGTGGGATCAAGGTGGGATCAAGTTCTTGCACACGGGTGTCTCCAATTTCACTGTTCGTGCTCGACACTGTGGTAGGGGCGTGATTTATGAGATCTTAGAGACGTACGACAGCAGCAACAGATGACAATAATAATAACACAAAAAAACGTGTACAAGACGAGGCTTTGCGCTTCATTTGGAGATCAAGGCGTGGTTGTGCCGGGGAGTTGAATTCCCGGCTACCGGCATTATGAGACTCAACCCTCCCTCCTCTTTATTACATGGAGACACACACGCTCTCCCCCTCTCTCTCCAAAAAAAAAAAGAAAAAAAATAAGAAGAAAAAATATTCACGTCATACAAACTCGATACCGAACCGAACCGAACTATACGATAATTACTTAAAGTTTGTAGATTTAAAGAGTCTGTGGGATTTCCTTCTGCTGCTTTTGCGAGGGTTGATGCTGTTTTGGGGACGCAGGGGAAGCTGCTGAAGTGCCGAGATAACTCTCTTGATCTTCGTTTCTGGTTACAACTTAACTTGCAAGGTTTAGAGAGAGAACTTGACATGTAATCTTTAGTCGTGGTTTCCATTCTTAGTTCTTCTTACACACGCTGCAAAGAGCGTCGATAAGTCAAACCCCCGCACCTTTTCAGTAGGGCGAGGAAAGGGAGGGGGGGGCGAGAGTTTATCCGCTGCGGGTAGCTGTATCCAGCCCCGGAATGCACCGAACTAGCTAGGCATGGGCAGCGCAGTGTAGGCGCAATAATAACATTGTTATATTCTAAAGTGTGTCATTCTAATCCCATCACTACCTTAGAAAAAAGATAAGATGAAGGGGCTAGTTATCTCGACATTTTGATTAGATGATGGATGATATGATATCCCCAGAATTCTGTTTTTTGAGATCGGAATCGCAGGGTTCGACGTCGAAGTATGGAAATTTCTCATCGAATAAATCGTGAGGAAGGAGCGAAACGAGAATACGCTCTTAGTATGTTCGTCGTACGGAGAAATCAATGACGTAGAAAATGTTTTTTCTAAAAATAATTATTTTTATTTCTTGTAGAGTTAGCCAATAAAAAACATTTTCATCATCGACAACAATGTACATTGTACAAACTCTTTCGTTGAGAATGAAAATAATATTGTTAATTCAATTTTTGGGAAGCAATATAAGTAATTGTGTTTTTGAAAAATATTTTATAAATTATTGATTTTTCGCGAAATGGACCCATTCAGTAACATTTTTTTTTGGGTAATAGTTCATGTAGGTAGAAAAGGATGGAATGAGCTCCGGCCGCCTCGTTCACATTGAATTGGCACTCCTATTATAGGTGGATACTCCTAAATTTGTTGCTAACCAAAGGGAAAAAAAAAAAAATTACCTGGATAACCGGTGCAAACCGCAAGACTATTGACCCATGAAACCATAAATTGTAGACGAAACTTGGTAACTTCATTTGATTTCATAGTTTGGTTTTCGAATTAATCTATAAATGTGCCGAAAATTGATCATTCACTTTCTCATAAGAAAAAGCTTTTGATATTGCCTTTTCACCCACACTAAAGATTTCCTAATTTTGTCACGGCGATTAAAGCACGGCCGATATCAACCTTAAAAGTCCTTGATATTGCATGTGAAACATAATTAGAAGAATGCTTTTGTGGATAAGTACCCAATTAGTCCAAACCTATTATATGAATGTTAATTCAGTCATATATTTTCAATTTTGTCAATGTAGTCCTAAACCTTTGCGCGAAATTCCATTATAGTTCTACCGGCCAATTATCATCATAAATCGTTGACGTGACGTCAGGTTATCGCTGACCGTCTTATGTGGCACGCTAACGCGTACAAGTTTACTTATGCTACATTAGCAATTTCAAGCGGCAATTGGCCGAAAAGACTACATTGAAATTTCGTGCAAATGTTTAGAACTACATTGGCAAAATCGTAAAGTTTATGATCGAATTAGCGTCCGTATAATAAATTTAAAATTGAATTGGTAATTTTTCCCACTTTTTAAGAATTGATAATACTTCAATTGAGATTACATGACACCCTCCATCTTCTTAAACTTAGTGACCCTCCTTCCCCTCTACATCGAGTTCTTTGTAGAACTGGACATCACGTACACTTTGCAGTCTGCATGATCAATCATCTGATCTTGACTCATCTATTTTAATGTGCACGAATTAATAATGAAAAGTACATTGATGTGTGTGTCATAATTTAACTTCATGAAAGTGCTACGTGCTCCCTCCATTGAAGAGAGTCCATCTATTCCATAGATCCTCGGTATTAGCTGTTAGCCCCACTTCTTCACGACTTTAACCGTTTAAGAAGCGGCTTAGATTAGCCTAATGCAAGTGCTTAACATTGGTCCAAACTCTATGCCCTAATTTTCTATTTAAGTACATCAATTCCATTAGTATAATCTCTTTCTCGTTTGTAATAACTAGGGTTTCTCTAACCTTCTTTGGACAGTGTCATTGCAAGGTTCTTCTCCTCCTCCTTAATTGATCACAAGCTATTTTGAGCTTCTTTATGGCCATTCTATAGTGCCATTTAATCACACACCTCCACCATTTAAACCCTCCATGCTTTGCCCACACAAAGCATCTCTTACCTCTTCATAATTTTCTCTTCATCAATTGCCTTTCCTGATTGATTCGCCCCATATATTCCTTCACTTACTCCAAAGCACCATCATTTAACTTTCTTGAATGATAATTTCCAATCATTGAACAAGCAATTAACAACATCCACCATATGGAAAGTATAGTCATCATCCTATAGACTACATCATTTAATTTTTATCAAAAGCTTTAAATGATTCTTCAATCTCCCAGAAAAACTATTGTTGCAATTATTTGCGGCATGCCTTTTCTTGTATTTGGTAAAGTTTCTTTAATTATCTTCCTTTCTCGTGTGGTATCGAGCTCTTCGCAGTGCAATAATCTATAAATAAATTAATTAAAAAGGTTACAATAAGACCCTTTTGTGAAAAGCTTAAAAACATATGATAGAGAATATTATACTTCAATGGTAGATCTTAAATCTTATTAATTGCCACATCCTAAATGATGCTTGGAGTAAGTGGAGGAATATATGACAAATTAAACAGTATGCTTCTTCGTTATGGGCTTCCTATCCATACCACTGTGAACTTTTCTATACACCTCCAATGGAATGATCTTTAATTGTTATTTTTATCATTTGTCAATCATTACAACTCTTTCAATTTGATTTTTATGTAATGACGAATACCTGAAACATTTCAAAAGGTACAAATGTTGAGTTATGTAATAATTGCATAATTTTTTTTGTAACTCTTTAACTTGAAAAAAGTATATTAAGTTTTGATAGGAAAGTCAATTAGTAACTTTTCGCTTAACAAAACAAACATAAATTGAACTTGGAAGACTACTAAGAGGGCACCCCCCGCCCCCCCCCAAAAAAAAAAGAAGAAAGAAAAGAAGGCTACTGGAGACATTTTAGGAAATTTTCGGCACCGGTGACGTAATGCGAAATTTATATTAAGACTGGTCGATGAAGTTGGTATGTTAGGCAATAACAGATTGCAAGTGGAAATTTAAACAAGTGCATTATACACAATATTTGACATTAATCTGTCAAATTTATCAATGTTGTAAATCAATTTTAGTATATGTAAAATGATTAGATATATTTGGACTACAATAAACAATCACGACCTCTTTATAATGCAACAATCAGTATCGTAATAAGTCATGCCCTAATAATATCAGAGCCTTCTATGATCCGTCAAAAAATCAATCCGGGGTCTAGTTAATCACAATCGTATCTATCTTGTCTTGACTTTTATACAAAAGGTCATCATACGCAAAAATTCGAAAACTTTACTGTGAAGAGGTGAGATTTACATGGTCATCACCGCCTTTGCAATGACTAGATTTATGGGATTTTCAAGGAAATCCAGGGCAGATATGGGCAGCAACGTTCAGCATTGCAGGTCATAGACTCGTAATGGCAGAGAAGACACTTAGGTTTTGCGGTATTTATTGATTAGTTAGCAACGGCACCAAAAATCTTACCCCTGATTAAATTTGTACACTCGTTGAACACGACAATGCATCCTCTCTCTCTATCGAATTTTGTTCCAAACCTCGCCAGTGCTCTCTCTCTGAACAAAGTCCTTGATCAGCTTTTGAATCTGCTGGACTCCTTTGTCATTGCAGTCTGGTCTCATGGGATGTTTGGTTAAGGAATGATTGTGGTGGCTGATCAGATGCAACGCCTAGGAGTGTTGCCAGATCATTAACTTAAGATCTATCAGCATCTTGTTTCCTGTCGTCGAGGAAAAGAGATTATCAAAGGTTGAGTGTTGGTTTGTAATTGCTTTGGGAACTGCTTCATTAATGTCAGATGATCGGTCTCTATTCAGCCGGGAGGAACTTGGTCATGTCTATTTAAGATCAGCACCGATTTGTAATCTGCATAATGTCGATGCCCCCATTAAATAAGCTATTATAGATGCTATCATGCTATTGCCATTTCAAGCATATGCATTTGCTTAATGGGACGGTCCATTATTCATTTTGGTCCAAAACAAGTTTCAAGTTCCGACGGATGAACCTTTTCTCCAACTATTTTGATATGAATGAAAATATTTTTTCTGAAGCAGGGAATGGCAGTGAAGGAAATTGGTAATGGGAGTCACTAGTGATTAAAGCATTTTTGGGTTTATAAATTCGTGAGTATAATCCTGTAAACTGATTAAATGTTGGTCTTTTGCCTTTGCAGGTAGTTCTGGCCAAGAGATAAGAACAATTTACACGTAGTTGGGAAGATGAACGGATGAACTTAAATTCCCGCGCTTGAAATTTTCGCATGTCTTGATTTTTAAGTTCGTCATTGTTGATTCTTTAGTCATGGGAAGATGGTATTTCACAGATAAGTCAATTGGCTTCCTGCCAGATGTCTCATAGTCAAAGCTACAA